GCCTTGCTCAAGGGCCCAGAGTGGAGCAAATGAGGGTGGGTGCTTCACCTTTCCCACCTACATTTTTGATGATGTCGGTCCGGGGGGATGGGGGGGGTTTTTGAACCAGTGACCTTCTGATCACAGCTCACCTTCTCTACTCCCTCCCCAGGCCGGTTAACATGTCAATATAAATGGTGGTGGTCCAGTTTTGAAAAGGAATCTTTCTTACGTCTAGATGCAGCCGCACTGGACCGCACTTATTTTTCAAGTCATCGTGCTCACAACTGATGGATGGGCGACGAAAACGGGCGTGGTTTTTTTTTTTTTTTGTCAGCACTCTACTTTGTTGTGTTGTTCTCGATATGACCACCAGATGGCAGCACGTGTAACCCCGCACATAAAAAAAACGAGCTTTAAAATGATTTGGAGCTTCTGGACAACATTAAATGTATTTTCCAAGGCCGCACAGGCGTGAGAATAAAATACAACTGAAGCGTCCCTGAGTCGTGTCTCAGAGCTGCAGAGAAGATGAGGCAGGGAAGCGAAGCGCCGTTTGTCTCAGCAGTGACTCAGCAGGATGCTGGGGGAGACAAAGGGACGAGTCCTGGTCCAGACGGGTCCAGATTTACTGAGCGGGTTCTTTTCAGAGCAGTGTGAAATCAGACAGACGGGAAGGTTCAAGAATCTGTCTCACGTGGTGTACTGGGACGCCCGTGGGAGGAAAGCTACAGAACAAAGAGACATTTGGACTGAATGCCTCTAAATGCCACTTTATTAAAAAAATAAATTAAACAGAGAAAGGACAGTCCAAACAGACTGGGAACCTGATCCCATTAACAAGGTTCCTTCTGGTCTGGTACCAAATAATTCAGACGTGTAAATTAAACTCCTGCTCTAATCTAAACTCCCTTCAGCTAAACTCTAAACCATCAAACTACGGTAATAAAACACTTTCATTACTGGGATATTAGTGTTATTACACCATGAACTGTGACTAGGCCTGTTGCAGGAAACAATAAATCAATTAATCGCATGATAAATGAAAATTATCGACCAAATTTTCATTTATCGTCTTTATCATTTCTTCGTGTCTCTCACTTTCTACTGAAGACACTGGATGAAAAAAGGTTCAACGCCGGTGATCTTCACTGACCCCTCCCCTTCTCTTTAAAACCTGTTTTAACCATCCAATATCGTGTTTTTGGATCGTTAAAAGCAAATGAAAAGCTAAGCTAGGAGCTAAGCTAACAGGCTGACCTCGGGGGGAAAAACCTCCATCTTGTCGAAGCTCCAAAAATTCATGAATTAAAAGCTTTGTGTGAAAAATGCTAAAGAGCTCAAACGCGTGTCCGCCATTTTGAGAACCGAAGAGAGACAGCCCATGTCACGTCAAGGGGCCTCCCTCCCATTTTTCTTAAAGAGACACGCTGCTCGCTCCCTCACTATCCATCCTAAAGGTTCAAACAGTCTTATACTGACATCTGGTGGTCGAAAAAAATTAACCAACATTTCTTCTTAAATTTGACAATAATTACTAATTATTTTTTAATTTCAAACAATATTATCGTTTATCGCGATAATTTCTGAGACAATTAATCGCCCAGCAAAGTTTGTTATCGTGACAGGCCTAACTGTGACAAACCTCTAAACTAATCAACAGTTGCTTTAATAACTTTACTTTAATTTAATACGTTACTACGCCCTTATCAAAGACAAACAGGTTTAAAAATTAAAAACAAACAATATTAATTAAAGAGAAGAACAGTCAACAGACTTCTTGTTTTAAACAAACATAACGATTCATATCTCTAACAAAACGCAGCATTTTTTACAAACAGTTTGTGTTTTTGCAGCTTCTCTTGTTGCTTTTCTTGAAACTAAATGTTCTTTAATCTTTGCCAGATGTTCCAGTTGGCATGATGATGTCACAAAAAACAGGAAGTAAAACATTCTTTCTTGTAGGAAAGGACGTTTGGGGCTTTAGCTGTGGAACTTTTTCGTGGACTAACCTCAACTCAGTAAAGCGCAGGTTTACTGAACGTAAATTAGAGTTCTGTGAAACAGAAACTTACCGCCTGCAGGTTGTTGCCGTTTGCTTCCATGTTCACGTTGTGTCGTTTCAGTTCGGACTTTATCAGCGCTGAAACACAAAACAAAACGTCACAGCTCTGATTTTTCCGCTTCACGTGCACTTTACGTGTCAGAGAGATGCACACCGGTGAGGATCACTCCCAGAAAGATCCAGGCAGACAGGAAGAGGTTTCCAGCCAGCGGGTTGAAGTCTGTGGTCAGCCTGCCTTGGATCAGAGTGAACATGCTCCCAAAGATCTGCACAGAAACAGAATCACATCCTGGGAGAGTTACGACACAACGTCACGATCAATTCAAAGCAGCCACCTCTTAAAAACATTTATAGAAAATAACATTCATAAAACAGAACAGAACGTCTGAACTCGTCTGTCTCCAAATATTAAAAGTTGCTGCTTCTAACTTCAGTGGTTTAAAAATGTGTTGTGAAACAAACGTTTTCTTCTCCAGATGTGCACGGGCTCAGGAAACAGCAGGCTGGTGGTACCTGAGCGAAAGCATTGAGGAGTCCGGACGACGTTCCTTCAGACTCTGGATACGTGATCTCCACCCCGAACTCGAAGCCCAGAGGCAGGTAGCCGGTCATGAAGAAACTGAAAAGCACGAGTGATAGAAACACGTTGCAGTTTTTTGTTTACGTGTAAACAGAAAGACGACATCAGCAGCTGTTTCGAGCTGAACACCGGCAACGTTCAAACCTTTAATGTTTGTTGTGACTCCAACAGCTGAGAGACCAAAACTGCTGCATAAGGGTCAGCTAATAAACAAAAACAGTAAACACTCTGCTACTGGCTTGTTGTCCTCATCATGGTGCG